GTATTAAGGTTGTCCTAGGGTTATACTAAGGTTGTCCTAGGGTTAAACTAAGGTTAGAGTTCGGTTATACTTAAGTTGTATTAAGGTTATACTTAGGTTGTAGTAAGGTTATACTTAGGTTGTATTAAGGTTGTATTACGGTTGTATTAAGGTTATACTTAGGTTGTATTAAGGTTATGCTTAGGTTGTATTAAGGTTATGCTTAGGTTGTATTAAGCTTAGGTTGTATTAAGGTTATACTAAGGTTGTGATAAGGTTATGTTTATTTTATCCCGAGGTTAGGGTTAGGGTTAGGGTTGGGTTGGGTTAGGGTTAGGGATAAAGGATGACAACCATGATCATACATCAGAGAATCATACATCTGTATTAGAGAGAGCATCTTTTGAGTTGTTTGATTGTGTTTGTGCTCTACTGTGTCACTTTTTTATCATGCACACGGTTGCACCGCCGTTCATAAAATGAGAATAATTATTGCTTATTTTAATAATGTATCATTGTATTTTTATCAAAGAGTATGTGATTTCTTCCCCAGTGCGGCCTAGGTGATTGTGTGTTACAAACACGTACGTCTTTGTGTACAGTATATATGTAATTTAGATGATGATGATTTAACCCTCTGGGGTCGAGGGTGTTTGGGCCTGGAAAAGTTTTGACATGCCCTGACATTTGTGCTTTTTTCAGTTGCTTGCACACATTTGAATGTCTAAAGTTTAATAACACTGTAATAAGCACAAACTGGGCTACAATAATATGTGAGCAGCATGTATGTACGTGATTGTGTTTTTGAGAAAAAAACGTTTATGCGTGCTTAGTGAAAAACTAAAATTTTAAAGTCACTGAAATAAGGCCATAAAACACATACAGAACATTTGATCACAAGACTTTTGAGAACTGTATTTGAAGTCTAGAGTTTTTGCTTCAAAATTATGTGAAAATCATCTTACTCACTCATTCACATTTTGTGTAGAAAAGGTATATGCGAGGAGGCGTGAATGATCATGCATAATGATGTGATTCACACCTGAGAAGACAAAGGCCTGCATAATGAGCTGTCAGGTGTGTGACTGAGAGGGAATTGCTACAAGAAAGAATGTGAGAAAAAAATTAATTTATATATTTTTTGTTTGTAGTTTATTTAGAATACATATAACTATCACATAAAATAACTCATGGGAGTGTGTGCATCACATGGTCTTAGCTGTGGTCCAGGTTCTTGTGCAGGCAGGAATCTCCATTTCCATGACCAAGTGGGCTGCTTTGCTTTGGCTCTCTTTGCAACAGGTTCTTTTACACTGTTATTCTCACATCTGAAATAAAAAAGCAAGCATGCTGTTTACACAAACTGCATTATTAATATTATTATGATGTTCACTGATACTAGTACTAATTTATCGAAACAAAGAACACAATTACCATATAGCAAACATAGTTTACCTTACAGCAAATAAATCAAATGAAAGTAACATATGTAAAATAGTGAA